AACAGAGGGTTTGACAATCACCCTTTTCTTTTGCAAATATGCACACGTCTAAACTAGTCTCCGGTTTTACTTTTCTTTTGAAGAATTTATTGAAATGTAGGGGGGAAAAGTGGCACATTGACTCTTTTGTCGATGACCATCAAAACTCTCATTTTAAATACAATTAAGATGTTGACATCGAGCATTTATCCTGAAGGTATCTCAAAGGCAAAACAGCTTACGTCTATTTTCAGTGGTTACAATGTAATCAGGGATAAAAGTGCTCTCTTGAGATTAAGGGTATCTTTTACAGGAGGCTGAAGTAAAATGATGGCAGACATAATGTCATCTCTGTGGTAAAGAGATTCAAAGATGTTATTGTAGGGTCTTTATCTTACATGAAGTGCCTTGAGGCAACTGTTGTTGTGATTGGGCGCTATAAAAATTAACTGAATTGAATTTCAGGACAGGCAAGAAAACAAATGGCAGAAGGCAGGATTGTATTAATATGCTGTTGTAGTAGTATGAGGAAAATATTCCACCCATTTTGAAGCATTTTTTCTGGCCACACAACACTTTTTTTTTTTTATTCGATCAATGGATTTTATACTTTATTTTGCATAACTAAACTTTTTAAAGCTCTTTCTAGATTTTTTATTTTATTTTATTTTTTGTAGGTCAAGCTACATTTACCAGCTGCTGACAAAGGTATTATCAGACAGTCTGGCTTTCAGTGTTAATGTCTTTCACATGCTTTCCATTCTGGAAGGTAATGTATTTCTGGGGGAAAATGCTGACTACAACAAAGGGATTGTTTAATTTACAGAAGAGGATCAGCAGAATGATCCGTGTGTTAGCAGCTCCAGTGTCAGTATTTGATAGTCTAACCCTACAGGCCTGTATATTTGTACACTGGCACCTTTTTCCCCATGCAAGCTGGAGGCTGTTTCAGATATTCGCTTAAAATCTTGCAAGCACTTTGCAATTCTGTTGAAATGCAACCCAGAAAAGCTAAGCGGTTCATTAGCTGAAAACTAAAGGAAACTAAATAGGATGTGTGGCTCATTTATAAAATGGAAAATAAAATTCCAGCAGTGCGATGTGCCGGAGCATTGTTCGCCTTCCCAGACAACTGCGGCGCTCCTTATTGTGAAGGCCAAGCCCTAAAGGTTAAAGTTCAGCCGTCTATTGAGCCATCAGATGGACGTGGCAAGAGATGGGCGTGTTGTCGACCCATTGAGCCAGCCCGAGCCTTCGACAGATAAAGTCATCGCCGTTGTGTGATGCCACATATGGCGGATGGGATTTTATTGTGCTCATGCTAAACTTCGGCAGCACAAGCGAGGCTAAAGCTGACAATGTAATTATTGTGTTTCATTCCTTCCAGGTCGCTCAGCACTTAACTGATTTTTCAATCCCTGTTTTGACAGCTTTCCAAGACGGGGCTCTTAAACTGGCTCCACACTGTTGCTTTTTAAGACTTTAAGCACTTTAAATCCTTGTTTTTTCCACTCCGGATTTTAACACAGCCGGGATTGTGAGTCTCAGTAGGCATCGCAGGAATTTCTACACATAGCAAGATTATTTTTGGACTCCTTCTTTTAATTTTAGACCAGCCGCACGTCTTTTTCCCCTCTCGGTCATTTTAATCAAACACATCGCAGATATCAAAAGACAGATGATCCCATTTTTTGTTGTTTTTTTTACTCGTGTACTTCCATTTTTACAGCCTTCTGCTGTCTTGCAAAGCTAAACTTTACCAGCTTTAATAGCAACCCCCTTAGGGCCGCATCTCTCTGTTTCTACCTTCTCTATGGGTCAAATTAGACGGTAGCGCAGATCCGGGCCACTGGTCCGCTCTGACACACTCATAAATTCTGGTAACTGGCCCCGCTGGTTCTGACAGAAGCTATTTTGTGAGGTGAAGACGGAGAGTTTGGACTATAAAGGGAAAAGAGCTTCCTGTGTTTTCTCAGACAACTAATACACTGCAAAAAATGTCAGCATCTTTGCCAGTCTCTCAAGCTCGCTTGAATTTGATGAAAAGACGTGAGAGAATCTGCGCATAGGATGAGGGAACTGAAGTGTTTTCGATGGTAATCCCGGTGAAGCGAAAGGAAATGTCTTGAAAGGCAGTTTACTTTGTCCCAAAATATTTCAGAGAAAAAATTAACACAGAATACAAATTTCAAGTTGTTTCTCTGTCCTCTTCAGACTCCTGGAAAGCTGGTAATGTCTCTTTCAAAGTGCACTTTTTGCAGTGTAAAACTGCCTGTCCATTCCCATGGCATGCTCTGTGCGCTCCGTACATCCACAGCCAAAGCCCTAAAACCTTTAAAGCCTTGTATGACTCTAATGTAAGCTGCTTAATAATTTAATTCTGGTTGGAATCTGGCATGATTGGAATGGATAGGATTATCACATTTGGGGACTAATGCTACGAGTTCAACAGGGGTTAGCCAGTGTAACATGGTAATAAAAGCCAGTGATGTGTGTGTTTAGAAAATAATGAAAAGTGCCAGGAGGAATTAAAGTAAAATGGCACTCAAAGTTAATTATTACCGCAGACAAGAAGTTCGGTTTCAGTATTCACGATATTAGTGGCAGTTAACACTTTAAAACCGAGTGCGTGTATCAGACACAGATGTCTCGGGCTAGGTGTGAAATCAGAATCTGCAATGTAGCAGCAGCTGTCGTATAAATGTAGTTGCACAAAAGCTCAATCTGAACTGAAAGTTTGCAAAGAGTTACAAAGCAACACCAAAGTCATGCTTTGGATCGCTCTCTTTCTGTATCTCTTGGTGGTCTTGCCCACTACTGAGCTTGAACTTGTTCTCATATTTTACCACCTTTTCGGTTCCCTCTGCATGTGTCGCCTGTTTTCTGGGGGGTTTTTTTTCCCTTCACTCCCCTCTCAGCTCAGCTCAATCCCAGCCACCGCAGCACAAGGCGTCACTCAGCTGCTCATGAGAGCAGCCATTGACTTCGGTTTGACTCCTGTCTCTGAGAGGGGTAGACGGGGTGGAGCCAGCCCCTCTGAAGAACCATTTGCCAGCGTCGAGCGAGCCTATGTTACCACGCAACTGCAAAAAGCACACACAGGCATAATATTTACACTGTTACATTATTTTCCGTATACGCCTCCAAGAGTGGGAGTCAAGAAGTGTATACTGTAAGACAGACAGAGGAGAAGAAGAAGAAGAAGTTGGGGAGGAGAATTTGATCCTCGGCATACAAATATATACATATATATATATATATATATATATACCTTCTGTGAATGGCTGGCTGGTCACCAAAATGTGTGGGGTTAAATGTTTGCAAAAACATTAAACCTTCTCTGGGTCGGCACATTTTCCTTTGCGGGTGATGTTAAGTGTTCCACCCTGAAAAGCCTCCTTGTTGACATCACTCACTCCCGTCGTTAGTAATTCTGACCTCTCGCGGAGGAGTTCACTCTGCTCCTGTCTCGCAGCACCAAGCGCCACACGTTTCCACTTAAACCGTGGAGGTCATTCCTCTCGGCCCGTGGAGACTCTGCTTATCGATGCGTGGCGGGTTCTGTCTTCGCGCCTCGCGGTGCCGGACCGCTCGCACGTTCGCTCTCCCGTCCGATAGACTTCTGAATCTGTCAAGTTAGTATCTGTCTGCTGCTGCCATCCAGCCACACCTGGTTTGAATTACTACACACGATTCAACGCTCGGGTCTCCGGGGATGGCGTGCTCCTGAGTGGCACAGTGGAACCACTTTCAGAGGTGCAAAAGAAGAAAAAAAACTCACCCTCACTGCAGGCGGAGAGAAGAAAATACTTCTCTGCTATTTGAAAATGTCGTATTTCATCAAGTCATGATGCCAGTTAGTTTAACTGGTTTCTCAAACTTATGGCGCGCGCTGCGTTCTATTTCTTGAAAAGGCTCTCTGCAGCTTCTCTGGCCGCTGCGGGCACGCGGAATAATTTCCCATTAAGACGTTTACACCACGTCAAAATATTGCGTTCTGCTAATCACATCTGTTCTGCATCGCAATTAATAAAAAGAGGTTAAAGTTGTGTTGTCGTTTGAAGTGTTTGTTCAAAAGGGTTTGCACCTCAGTAAACATGCACTGCACAAAGGCCTCTCCTGTTTACCGAGCGGTGCGCTCTGTGATGTTTTATACCAAAGGATATCAAAGGAGGGAATAGCTCTGACAGTAGAGAGGACGCTTTTCTATAGCAATAGCAATATTGCTATAGCAATAGCTGGTATTTATTGGAGCAATTTCTCTATGGTGACCGTCTTATTAAACGTAGGAATATACTAAATGGGTATTTGTGTGTTGCTCTCTTGAAAATATGAAAGCAAATTCTCCCAAAGACTTCTGCACCCTTGTCATTTTTTATGACATATACTAAATATTCTCTCCTCTCTCACCTCCGTCGTCCCTCCACCCCGCCCAACCCCAAGCTGAGACACCAGCAGTGGAGTCTGGTGATGGAGAGCGCCGTGCCGTCAGACCGGGGAAACTACACCTGCGTTGTGCAAAACAAATACGGCTCCATCAGCCACACCTACCAGCTCGACGTGCTCGGTGAATGTCTTTTCACTTCTGCTGCTTTAACAACACATAACTTAACACACAGCAATTATAAAAGAGCTTATTTTTAGCTGTACCTTAAGTCTAAATTTCCTGCAGCATATTATTGCCACAAATGAGTTGTGGTAATGACTCTATAATTTCTTTTTCCTCAGAGCGTTCACCTCACAGGCCCATCCTCCAGGCTGGTCTGCCAGCCAATCAGACGGTGGAGGTGGGCAGCAATGTGGAGTTTCATTGTAAGGTTTACAGCGACGCCCAGCCGCACATCCAGTGGCTCAAACACATTGAGGTGAACGGCAGTCGCCTTGGCCCCGACGGTGTTCCCTACGTCAACGTGCTGAAGGTGGGTCTGTAGCTCAGAGCTCTTTGTTTTACATCTGTAATGAGCCTGGGTCTCACTGCCTGGAGTCGATCTCAGTCTGCGATAATTTGACTCATAATTAATCTCTCCTAATAGTTCTGTTTAATGAGCTTTTACAGTAGGTGGGTCTGTGGGGCCCACTGGCTGTTTTCGCTGCAGCCTAAACCCGAAGAGCTCATTCCTCAAACACCATACCTTCATTATGGGAAAAAACACACACCTGCATTTTGCGACATACCGCACCATATAAAAATGGATTCTCATAAACCTAATAATAGCCCTGTAAATAATTTTCTCCACTTAACCACGGCACCTGCACTGCTTCAGTTTATTCTAATGCTGGCCTGAGCAGTGTGGTTCCATACTGGTGATGATGGAGCCAGTTCACTTATAATTACAGTGTTTTATTTTGTTCCTTTTTCTTATTTGTTCCTTTTTCTTTTTTTTCTACTTCATCATGATGAAACAGTAAGAGGATATCCTTTTTAAGATTGTCTCAGACACACAGCTCTGGCTGTCAGCACAGACGTTCTAATTCAATTCAATTTCAAATCAGTTTTACTTGTTAAGGACCAAATCGTAACCGTTGTCACCTCAGATCACTTTATATCGTAAGGTAAAGGCCTTACAATAACACAGAAAAAACCTAAACAATGAGACGATTCCCCCGTTAGCAAACACTTGGTGACAGTGGGAAGGAAAAACTCCATTTTAACAGGAAGAAGCCTCCAGCAGAAGCAGGCTGAGGGAGGGGCAAGGGGAATGGTTGGGGGTGAGCACCTATACTAACTTAGTGCAGGATTTTACCCAGTGATTGCGCATTGTGTCTCTTCCACCACTCTAAATGTATTCATGTTTCTTTAATAGGCTAACAGCAATTAATCATGCTTAACCAGCATTTCCACAAGCTAATCAGTCGAGTGCCGTTTACTGATTACATTAGATTTGAATAAAATATGTTAGGAGGAAGCGCACAAAATAGGCAATAGCTGCATTTGCAGAGAAATACTTATTATAAGTTTGTTATTGTTGAGATAAATGTCATGGTTTATCCAAATATCAGCTGTTGGAATTTCAGTCTCATTGCAAATCCCAGATTTGTTTATTTAACCACTGGAAAGGAGATTGCCAAGGCAGTCATGTTTGCATTGTTTGATTCAGTAAGTGACAGACTGACAATCACATCAACGAAAAGGTTTTCTTTGTCAGATTTTCTAAAATCTATATTTGGTTACAGCATTATAGAGAAGAAGAGATACTTGACTTTTTTTTATTGCGCTTTATTTCGTATTGAGTCAAATCGTAATTCAACTAAAGAATGTCAGAAAAATAAAATACATGAATAAAGTGAATCAAAAATCCACCCTAAAGGTTATAAGTCTGATCAGTCAAGGTGGCCCTACGTGTTTACTCGCTTGGGAAAGAACTATTTAATTATAAATCGAGCAAGAAAATTATGTATACGTGACTTGCATTTCCAGATGTCCCTGTAGATTAATCACAACTTTTCTGAGCTATTCAGCGTTGCCCGTCTTCAGTTTTTGTCCTTGCCTTGATGAAGCATCTTTTAGTTTTTAAAAAGATATTTTAATCGCATACTTCCTCATGAAGTATTAGGAAAGTGTAGATAGGATTGTCCTCAATCAATCGAAGAGAGGGCAACAACCTTAAACCCGCTTCGAGGCGTGTTTTTAGATCTGGGGTCTAGAAAGGAAGACTCCCATCCACATCGCAAAACCCGAGAGGGCTTAGCTGTCTCATTTTGACCCCCCCTCCTTTTTTTTTCTTTTTTCTGCCTCTGGAGAGAGAAAGAGGAGAGGGTGAATAAAACAAACATCTGGTTTGGACTAAGTTAACTGCTGTGGTGGCGGCAACGCAGGGAGAGAGGCAGGCTCTGCTAACCGCCACTGCCGTCAGATGTGCTGCGTCGCGTGGTTTGAGGAGGAGGAGGAGGAGAGAGGAAAAAGGGAAGAGGCAACCAAAAAAGCCATGGAAAAAATTAGTGGAGGAACACGAGGAAGGGCAAAGTCAGCAGGGAGAGGGAGAGAATGTGTGACAGATTGGTGGGCAAAGATGGAGGGCGAGGGCGAGGACGAGTGGCTGGGGTGTTAGAAAAGCAGCGAGACGGGCGGGAGGAGGGGACGAAGGAAATAAGATGCAAACGTGAAACAAGAAGAGCAAGAGATAGAAGCTGAACAAAACGTCACAGTGTTAGCTTTTCACATATGAAAGTAATTGTCGAAGTACAAGAGTGCTCTCAGGTTGCAAATAGATTATTTTGAAGCTAAAACCTTTAGATGATAACCTTCCTGAGTTGAAGAGATGCTCAAGGCCTGAGTTTCTAATCTTCTAACACATTATTAGAATTATTATTAACATTTTTAAATATCTTCACACTATGAGTCGTGGGCTTGAAGGTCTGGGTTACTCCATCTTGACATTAAAGTTTCATTGACTTTTAATGTCAAGTCATTTAAATAAATAAATAAATACCTTCACTTGTTACATGAGACGCTCTCCTATCCGCACGTTGAATATGAGGCTATATGAGCCAGGTAGTTTAGCGAGGTGTCCTAGGTGCTCGCTCATTTTTAAATCTGCTGGATTCACAGTTATTTTATGACTTATTAAAACACTGACTGTGCCGAAGCCTTTTACATCAATGTAGTGTCATTTAATTTATGCTTGAGCTGAAATACGTGGGTCGTTTGTGGATAAGAGATATGGTTGTGGGTGCAGTATGTTGCCTTCGTAACTTCACGACTTCAAACACAAGATCAGCGTATAAAGTGTCCAGCAAATCTTTAGAAATGTACGTCTGAGAAGGTCGTGACAGACTGGGGGGGAAAGTGGAGTAAAATAGAAAGCAAAAGGACTGAGAGAGTGAGAGTAAGACAGAGCGAAAGAGGAGGAGAAAGAGAGAGGCCAACAAAAAGAGGGAGAAAGAGGGGGGAAAGCAAGCCTGTCAGCCCAGACTGCGGCTCCACGCTCTATTTTCGACTACCGCATAATTGAAACAGTATTTACTGAGATTTGTGTGTGCCTCCCTCTCTCTCTGTCACTCTCAGTCTCTCTCTCTAGGCCCACCACAGTTCACTCAGACATGATATGCTCTCTCGTGTGTGGCATATACTGTAGAAGTTAAATACAGCTTAGGGTGAGACGAGGGGGTCAAAAAAAGAATTTTTCTTTTCTTTTTTTTTTTGAGAAATGCCTGAATCGTTCTTTTGATGCCTGGAAAAAGAGTTAACGATGAGTGACTCGCCCCGCACGGGGGAGGGAGAAGGAGACGTCTGGAGCCAAGCCGTGGATGTTCATTAAGCAACTATAAAACATGATATGTTTTCTCCTTTATGCGCCGGGCCCGTTTAATAATTTAGCAGCAGTTTCTCTGCGAGCGAAGCGCCCAGTCAGATCGCGAGTGTTTACACACGCAGGTTTACACCCTTATAGGACTGACATACTGTAATGCCTTTAAACTAGCAACAGACAGCGCGGATTGGTGCGAGTCTGCAATGTATGGTTCGTGTGTGTTCCTGTTGTTGTGTGTTTATGATCTTACAGGTTTGACATGTTGCTTTTAATCAACAAAACTGACAGAATGACACTATGCCTCACTGTATCACTCTCACGTCAAGTTCTCATGTTAGCATAGCTTAGCATAAATCTGGAAACAACTGGAAAGTCATAGCCTGGCTGTCTCTGTTTTTTTTTTTACAACAGCAGCTTATAAAGAGGATTTATTCATCATGCTTTTCATTATTTTCTATCACATATATACTGTTAAAATAGTGGACTAAATGATGAGGATGATAAGACTAAATGTTCAGTTTGAGGCAGTTTTTTCTACTGATGGCTCTCTGTGATGTATGAAAACACACGGATCGGCCAATTAGAAGAAAGTTTGCCTTAAAGGGAGAGAAGCTGGATCATTTTTGAGCTGTGAAGCATGTAGAGCTATGTGGAGATAGGAATGAGCGTAAGAGGTCCCCTTTGTTCACAATAAACAATGAAACTAAGCTAATAACACAACAAAATGTTGTAAATGTAAAAACCAATGTGCAGTGCTTCTTTTAGATGTTTGTGTGTGTGTTTAGTATGTAGGTTTGCATGTTGTTACTATGTGTTTTTGCAGGAGCTGTGAAGGCCTCACTCTGCCTTTCAATTTTCCCTTTACAGAGTGTTGTCAGTAAACACATTGAGACCCACAGTAAGTTGAAACTGTCCAACGTGACAGAGAAAGACGCCGGGAAGTACTGGTGTCGTGCCTCAAACTTTGTAGGCAAGTCAGAAAACGCTTTCTGGCTTAACATATACAAACCAGGTAAATTCTAAACTCTGGGCGAGAACCGTCGTCGCCACATTTGATCTGCTGTGCCTCTTCCTCTCTGCAATGTTCCTCTTGGTTGTGGGTTTTGACTGGCTCGCTGGCTTGCTGACAGGGTACACAGTTACATACTCACACCAATACACATTCATCAGTGAGGTTTGAGTTCTAATGCTCGCATTTTGTTAGCTAATGGCCATCATCTATTTTAGCTCCCAGTGCCACTTTGTCTTCCTTCCCGGTCGATAAGAGAAAGACAATATTGCGCCATTAATTAATGCAAAAACTTCAAAAGTCTCTCTCTCTCACACACACACACACACACACACACACACAGATTAAAGCCCACATAAAACCTTTACTGACCAAAGCGTACACGTACACAAACAGGCCAGTATTGATTTCTCTGGGAGAGCATCCTCCTGCTATATTAATGTGCTTTTATATGAGAGCATGCAGCAGGCGTCTGGATGTCAGTGTTCATTACTGAGGCACGGGGAATAAGTCCTCCACCTCAGCCTTTACTAAGCCACATCGAGCACTGCCTTTGAATCAAGTTAACCTAGCGGTCATCACACCAAATGATATTTGAAGAAAGAAAAATCACAACTGCAGTGATGCAGTTTTTGGGCTGGGCTTTGGTGCTTAAAGAAAAAAAAGTTGACGTTGATGATACTCTTGATATTTACAAAAAGTGCACAGCGACAAGATGGCGTGTAAGAGGTGGGAACTCAGACCCTGTTGTATTTCTGGGAGTTCCTTTCTCAAGGCACAAACTATTTAAGACTAAGGCTACGTCCACACTGCAGGCGAAAGCGCATCAAATGCGATTTTTTTGACCCTATGCGACTCATAACCGATCATGGTGTGACAGTGTGAACGGCACAAATCCGATATTTTCAAATCCGATCTGGGTCACTTTCGTATGTGGTACTGAATCCGATACATATCCGATGTTTTAGAAAGCGACTGCTGTTTGAACGGTCAGGTCGCATTAAATCCGTCTTTTACGTCACTGACACAAGACAGACGCCAATTATCAGCGCCGGAGAAAACCTCGCGAACGCTTCCTGGCCATCCAGTGAAACTGCGTTAAATATCTGCACAATTTAAAAAGCTGGGGGAAAAAAGTTTTTTTTGTGCTTTATGGCGCTTTTGTAAATCACCCATAAAACTAAC